AGCCTCTTGTAGGCGACATATCGTATTTTGGTGCGTATATCCTTTTCCAGAACTTACCTGAGCGCCGCTTCACTCCACCTTCCCGGGGACAACAGCACGCTATCGCAGAAATTGCAATAATGTCTAGTCAATTACCATTTTATATTCTTCAACAATCTCTATTTTTCGCTTTTTAAAATCCCAGGAGAACTAAGATAATTTTTTTTTATTATAAGTATCTTACCGATTACTAAATCCAACAGCACGAGGAGTGACGATGTCGCGTGCACGTTCCTTTTATTTATGGTTGTTAGTTTGCCTTCACTCCTCTATGGGTGTCAGTAACCCGGGACGTTGAATGGAAACCACGGAAGTGTCTACGTGAGTGGCGACAGCAGACGAATCTATCATTATCTTGAGTACAACGAGACTAGACTCACTGGTCCACAATAGACTAGAGTGTTGCCGTACTCTGGCACCCGTCTTCCATCTTTCTCCCCATCATTGTATCACTATGGAATCTCAGTGGGGGAAATAATAATGACAATAGTAATAATTTGTATTTCTGTCGCTGTACGATCCAAGGAATCCCCGTATTGCCTAACCCTAGTCCCCTCTACTTCAAAGCACGCGAATGGAATAGTGTAGATGAATGGTTCAGAGAACTGACAAGTTGATAATTTAGACACATGTGCAACACTTGGGTATCTTTAATGAGGAAACGTATCGCCACACAGTGGCTTCATCAGTCCATACAAAGGAGAACTGATGGACTGATTACATCGACTCGAGGCTGAGGGACTCATTACCTCAAACTCCTCCTGTTCTTCACCATTCTCCTTTGTATGGACTGATGAAGCCACTGTGTGGCGAAACGTTTCCTCATTAAAGATACCCAAGTGTTGCACATGTGTCTAATTTATTGACTGGAATAGTGCAGAGTGCGGCAATTAAATATCAGCAACGAAGATACGAGGCGACTCTGAAGAGGCATTCACACGTTATCACGTGGAAAATGATATTACATTTCCTACAGTAAGAATGTTAAATCAGGACACTCGCAAGCCAAATCTAATTCAAACCTTCCATTAAAAAACACCAGCTCTGAAACCGTATTGAAGAGGCATTCTAATATTATCTAAAAAAAATCTATATCGTGGAAATATTAAAGTTTATCCTCATTATATTTTAAAACGCTCACGAGGAAAATTAGATTTTTATATATTTTTAAGACAATAAAATTTAATAAAATTGCTTTAAAAATGGCAATTGAAACCCACATAGCCCAAATCAATACATAAATACTTCAAATTAAGATACTTCAGCGCTTTGGGTTTGAAACCGATCAGTAGAGGCATTCTCTAGTTATTACATGAAAAATAGTGTATTTAATAATATTGGAAAATAGAAATTTACGCAGCTTATAATGAACGTCAAACTCTTCTTTAATAATGCCCACCAACTGCGAAAGTTTGAAACCAATCAGACAAGGCATTCTCCATAATTGGTCTAATTCCAACAATTCCAAGTTTTTTCTAATATAAGAAAAATTGAAAATTTGCACTTAATCAGACTAAACTTATAAGTTATCATTCTTTTTATTTATATTTTGAAGGTGATCAGAAAAAAGTATTTTTTCCTTACTGATTATATCTATTTATTCAATATCACTGCGAGTTGGAACTTACCATCCAATAATATGATGAACCTTGTGTTCAGGAAGACACACCACTGCTGAATATTTGAACCCATTCAGATGAAACATTCTCCAGGTATGGCATGGATTCCAATTCCATATTTTATAAATTTTACATCATCATCAAATTTGCCGGCCCTAAGATAAAGCACGTACTAAATACTGAATCCGGTGAGAAGACATAAGAGGCGCGTAAGTTTACCTGTCTCCTATTTGTCCTGTTTCCTGACGAACCTTACCTAACCTAACCTGTCTCCTAACATTATGTTTATTTTTCCCCTATAATCTAACTTGTCCGTAATTACTATCGCATTTGCTTTGTCTGCTTTTGTAAAGTGAAGTCTACGATCTTTCCTTAATACACGGTATAACTTAACAAATTTTTGATGACAATTGTGTTGCAGAGGTCTGAGCACAGTTCAGACCTCTGCAACATGGAGAGATGTTATCTGGCCCCATCGCCATCGCTCGCTTAGCAGCCTCTTCACGTCTTCCTCGGTTGTATGTATTGTGCCCAATACTTGGTGATGTACCCCACATCTACGTCTTTCTGGAGTCCCTTCAGTCTCCTCTGTGAACACTTCTTTGAATCTCATGTTGAGCTCCTCACATAGTTCTCGGTCGTTTCTTGTGATCTCCCCTCCTTCCTTCCTCAGCCTGATTACCTGGTCCTTAACTGCTGTTTTCCTCCTGATGTAGCCGTACAACAGCTTCGGGTCAGATTTGGCTATGTCATTTTTGTATTGTCGTTGGGCCTCCCTTCTTACCTGTACATATTCATTTCTGGCTCTACGACTGCTCTCCTTATTCTCCTGGGTCCTTTGCCTTCTATACCTTTTCCATTCTCTAGCACACTTGGTTTTGGCCTCTTTACACCTTTGAGTGAACCAAGGGCTCACCCTGGCTTTCTCGTTATTTCTGTTACTCTTGGGTACAAACCTCTCCTCAGTGTCCTTGCATATTGTTGTCACATATTTCATCATCTCATTTACTGACTTCCTTGCCAGTGCTCTGTCCCACTGAACCTCGGGCAGGAAATTTTTCATGTATCTGTAGTCCCCTTTCTTGTAGTTTGGCTTCTTTCGTTCTGCCCTTCCTGCTTCCCTCTCCACTTGTAACTCTACTATGTATTCAAAGCTCAGAACCACGTGGTCACTGGCCCCGAAGGGTCTTTCATACATGATGTCCTCAATATCTGCACTACTCAAGGTGAATACTAGGTCCAGTCTTGCTGCTTCACCCTCTCCTCTCTCACTGGTAGTGTCCCTTACGTTTCTGAGCCATGTGGCTCCAAGTTCTCCCCGTCAATTTCTTTGTGACTGAAGTCACCCACAATCAGTAGCTTTGCCCTGTTCGCATGAGCCCTTCCGGCCACTTCAGCCAGTTGTGTCAACCATCTTTCTGTGCCACTCCTCCACCTCCTCTGTTCCTTCTGTCTTTTCCCGGAATCTGATATCCCGTTGGAAAGATAGAATTTGTTATCATTCCTGTGAGCTTGGTTTTGGTGAGAGCTATGATGTCCGGTGATGCCTCTTGCGTGTCTGTGTGTGTGAACTTCGGAGTCCAGTGATATTATTACTGCTACCTGGAGCTTGACGGCTTAGATATCGGAGCTTGTAATAAAACTCCACATTATATCAACACATGTTGCAATCAACACATCAGGATGTGTTGATTGCAACATTCGTTCCGAGGGACGCTTTCCTCAGTCTCAGCAAGGCGTCCCTCGGAACGAATTAAGTAAGATTACTTATTCATTTATGCACCTTTGCAAGCTCCTGATGATGCGTTGATTACAACACGCAAGGCCTAAAGCTATCATTCAATTCCCCATGTGGTTGTTTTGTATATATAATATATTATATATATATATATATATATATATATATATATATATATATATATATATATATATATATATATATATATATATATATATATAATACCGGGTGTCTCCACCGAGGCAGGGTCACCCGAAAAAAGAACAAAACTATTTGGTTATACTTTTTACATTGATCAGTTTATACAGAAGAGGTTAACAGCCCCTTACTCTTACGACACGCATGGCTTACGGAGTGAGAATTCTTTACTACCCTACGGAGATGAAAGGAACTAAATAATAACAAGAATTACTAAGAAAGCAGAAGAAAACTCAAATCAGTGTGTATACATATGTATACATGCCTGTGTTGTATGACCTAAAATAAGTAGAATTAACAAGATGTACCTGTTGTGTATTTATCAGACAGAAAAAAAAGACAACAACAATCTTACCATTGTGTAAAAAAAATTACAAGCTTCCGTTTCACACTCAATTAGCAGGACGGAAGTACCTCCATGGATGGCTGCTGTCAACCAACCTTATACATGTGTACACACACACACACACACACACACACACACACACACACACACACACACACACACACACACACACACACACACACACATATATATATATATATATATATATATTATATATATATATATATATATATATATATATATACGTATATATATATATATATATATATATATATATATAAATATATTATATATATATATATATATATATATATATATATATACGTATATATATATATATATATATATATATATATATATAATATATATATATAATATATATATATATATATATATATATATATATAATATATATATATATATATATATGGGAAACAGAGGATGGGTTATGATGGTTATATATGTATTATTATAAACCCAAAAAAATAATAACTCAGCAGCACCCTGGGGCAGAGAGCTCGCCAATAAGTATGGAGATAATGTTTGTTTATGAGGGAATTATGGAACATAATTATGGGCCTGTCATTATGTTAACTAGACCAGGTGTTAGGCACCGGGTTGTTTATACACTGTACTGTTATGAAGATGGTTATGATTGTGGCGGCGGCGGTGGTGGTGACGGTGGTGATAGTGGTGGTGATGATGATGGTGGTGATAATGGCGCAGGCGGATCATGACTGTTGATTGGTAGTCTTAGTACTGTCTTGACAAAGGTTCGAACCTCAACTCCCTGAATTGTTTACATCAATCGTTGCGATTTTCCCAAATCACCGACAGTTCCAGTAGAGGAACAAGAGCTAGATCTTGTCGCTGGTCATGGTGGTGAGAGATTCTTCCATAAAATCTGAATCTGTGGTTGCAGTAGGTGGCCGATGTTAACCTCTGGAGTTCATAAACAGCTGGTTGGAAGTGCCTTATTACCTTCACGGTCCAGTAGTTAAGAAAGCACTGACTTGGTGTATTTTGTGCTGCTTACAAAATACGTGTGTGTATCAGTTACCTGTGTGATGGTGATGGTGGAGGTAGCGGTGGTAGAGGCACTAGTGATCTATGTTCAGGCAGACGAAGTAAGAACAACACGCTGGTCACCGCAGTGGAACACGCCATTAACCGTATCCAATATTGTCTGTGAAAAAAAATATCGTAGTAGCAATTTCCGAATAATTTTGGTGGCAGTAAACAATAATTAGAGACTCGAGGAGTGAAGGTTCGTGCCACTACACCAACCAGGTTCAGTTTGTAATCCCCAGAAACCGAGGCTTTGACGCTGGAGAAACTCCCCTCAAGGGAGGTTCCTTGACGCTGGTGAGGGGCTCTTGATCTAGGGAATTGGATCTGTGCTCCAGTTCCCTGAATTAAGCCTGAATGCCTTCCACCCCCCCCCCCACAGGTGCTGTATAATCCTACGGGTTTAGCACTTCCCCATGATTATAATAATAATAATAAGATGGAGAAGTTTTGAGCCGCCTAGTAATTGAAGCTATCCTCCCTCCCTCTGCATCAAATTTAACTTCCATTCCTTGCTTTCCCGTAAATATAATAATAATTATTTATTAGGTAAGAAGCACTAAATAAATTATTACAATAACAGAGGTAATGAATTTCATTAATATCAATGGAGGCGTGACCCTTGACACCTTCACGGTTCTTGATTCAAGTAATTGGAGCTGCTCTCCCCATCGTAAGATCAAATCTGAATACCTCCTATTTCCTTGGAACTGTATAGTCCCTACGGACTTCGCATTTCCTTTGCTATGTACCCCATACCTATCCTGTGGTAGGGAATGGGTAGTCAAAATGTCACATAATAAGCCTAGGGGCTGGGCATCTATGTATTATGGTAGCTAAGTAAGTTACAATGATCTACTAACAAGTGTCTGATCTGGTTACAGTCGTAATGAGTTAGTGAAACACATTACAAAAACATTATAACGTAGTTTATATGTGATTTTGAATTATAATACACATTTAAAAGGAATCGTTGTTCTCAAGACCTCTGTCGTAAATTTTGGACTTTATAAAAGAGAGTTACAATTACCTGACTTACTTGCAAGTAAATATAATTCTATCAAACTATAGATCAAAACATCTAGTTTTTACTAATTTCTAAAGTACACGCAACAAGCCTATTATCAAAATTACTACAAAAAAAAAAAAAATAGACCGGTCTGTAAGTTATCTTCAAGAGGAGGGAGAGGGGGGGGGGTCAAATATGATGAATGGCTCTTAATCCATGGAATCAGAGCTACACTCCATTTCCTGGGATCAAATTTAATAACGTCCTAGTCCCCATGCGCTGTATGGCGCCTACGGGTTTAGCGCTTCAATATGAATATACTATTACTACCAGGTTTAGCGCTTCCTTTTGATAATAATAATAATAATAATAATAATAATAATAATAATAATAATAATAATAACAATAATAATAATAAAAATTACTAAAAAAGAAAAAGAAAATAACGGTGTCAAAACATGAAAGTTGTGAAGTCATCTGTACTACTCCATTACTGGACAAGTTCTTGTGTACATTGCATTCTGCAAGCAATATGGAAGTAAAATAACATATTTAGGAAAGAAGAAACCTTTTATTATTGACGATTTTACACCCATTGGTGCAGTTGGTACTGCCGCTGTTGTCACCACAGCAATGGCTCTCATATAGAAATTGGAGCACACATCAACATTTAGGCTACAACCTATTAAGCGTAACTGTTCATTCTACTCATTGCACTCAAATGCTTCCATGCACCTAAGGCTGACACTAACTGTATCTAATTCTCCTTCAGCTATATATTCTCTTAGCTCCTTGAGTGCCAAGTGTAGTATGCTTGTCAGGAGCTAGACAAAGGGATTGTAGGATTGTAGACAGTGGAGTCAGAGTATACTTTCTGTGGATTCCATCTCACATTGGTCTTCAGATGCATGACAGAACTAATGAATTAACACAGTTATATTCAAGGAGAGATTAGGTTACAATCTTTGACTGTCAGCATAGGTACCACTGTGGCCACAAATGCAAATTTTGACTGTCAGTTTGCAGTTTGAAAACAATAACATGACAAGAACTTTAATTAAGCTTTATTAACTTGAGACGTTGTTAGGTAAGACACATATGCAACAGTTAGGTATCTTTATTGTGAAACGTTTCGCCTACACAGTAGGCTTCTTCAGTCAAGTACAGGAAAGGTTGATAGAAGCAGAAGATACTTGAAGACGATGTAATCAGTCCATCACCCTTAAAGTTTTGAGGTGGTCAGTCCCTCAGTCTGGAGAAGAGCATTGTTCCATAGTATGAAACAATATGGAGAAGAAGTGACAGGATGGAGCTTTTATAGCGCCAAGAGGTGAGACGTAGGAGAGGTAAGAACTCAGACGTTGAGAGGTCCCTCTCAAATCCAGCCCCTCTCACTAGTGGAAGTTGTCGAAGTTGATTGCAGGTCTGTACCAAGATACCCTTGTGTTGCAGTGTCTGACAGATTGAACATTAAAATGGTATAAAATACCGACAGGTTGTTAGGTAAGACACATATGCAACAGTTAGGTATCTTTATTGTGAAACGTTTCGCCTACACAGTAGGCTTCTTCAGTCAAGTACAGGAAAGGTTGATAGAAGCAGAAGATACTTGAAGACGATGTAATCAGTCCATCACCCTTAAAGTTTTGAGGTGGTCAGTCCCTCAGTCTGGAGAAGAGCATTGTTCCATAGTATGAAACAATATGGAGAAGAAGTGACAGGATGGAGCTTTTATAGCGCCAAGAGGAACAATGCTCTTCTCCAGACTGAGGGACTGACCACCTCAAAACTTTAAGGGTGATGGACTGATTACATCGTCTTCAAGTATCTTCTGCTTCTATCAACCTTTCCTGTACTTGACTGAAGAAGCCTACTGTGTAGGCGAAACGTTTCACAATAAAGATACCTAACTGTTGCATATGTGAAAGTTAAGACACATGTGCAACATCTGGATATCTTTATTGTAGTTACTACAATAAAGATATCCAGATGTTGCACATGTGTCTTAACTTTCATATTGTCGGTATTTTATACCTTTCATGCACATGTTGCATATGTGTCTTACCTAACAACCTGTCGGTATTTTATACCATTTTAATGTTCAATCTGTCAGACACTGCAACACAAGGGTATCTTGGTACAGACCTGCAATCAACTTCGACAACTTCCACTAGTGAGAGGGGCTGGATTTGAGAGGGATCTCTCAACGTCTGAGTTCTTACCTCTCCTACGTCTCACCTCTTGGCGCTATAAAAGCTCCATCCTGTCACTTCTTCTCCATATTGTTTCATACTATGGAACAATGCTCTTCTCCAGACTGAGGGACTGACCACCTCAAAACTTTAAGGGTGATGGACTGATTACATCGTCTTCAAGTATCTTCTGCTTCTATCAACCTTTCCTGTACTTGACTGAAGAAGCCTACTGTGTAGGCGAAACGTTTCACAATAAAGATACCTAACTGTTGCATATGTGTCTTACCTAACAACCTGTCGGTATTTTATACCATTTTAATGTTCATTAACTTGAGACTGAGAGAGACTGATACCAGTCAGCCCATCTATCATTATTCTATCATACAGGAAAAGTCATATGTTTATGGTGCGTCCAACAAAGTCAACAGACTTTGTTGGACGCATCATAACACTACCGCCATAACACTACCACCATAACACTACCGCCATAACACTACCGCCATAACACTACCGCCATAATCTGAAACCAAGACAACAGTGCATAAGTGTTCGCAGTAAAGCTAATAGAATCCTTGGCTTCATATCAAGAAGCATAAATAATAGGAGTCCTCAGGTTGTTCTTCAACTCTATACATCCTTGGTTAGGCCTCATTTAGATTATGCTGCACAGTTTTGGTCACCGTATTACAGAATGGATATAAATGCTCTGGAAAATGTACAAAGGAGGATGACAAAGTTGATCCCATGTATCAGAAACCTTCCCTGTGAGGATAGACTAAGGGCCCTGAAACTGCACTCTCTAGAAAGACGTAGAATTAGGGGGGATATGATTGAGGTTTACAAATGGAAGACAGGAATAAATAAAGGGGATGTAAATAGTGTGCTGAAAATATCTAGCCTAGACAGGACTCGCAGCAATGGTTTTAAATTGGAAAAATTCAGATTCAGGAAGGATATAGGAAAGTACTGGTTTGGTAATAGAGTTGTGGATGAGTGGAACAAACTCCCAAGTACAGTTATAGAGGCCAGAACGTTGTGCAGCTTTAAAAATAGGTTGGATAAATACATGAGTGGATGTGGGTGGGTGTGAGTTGGACCTGATAGCTTGTGCTACCAGGTCGGTTGCAGTGTTCCTCCCTTAAGTCAATGTGACCTGACCTGACTAGGTTGGGTGCATTGGCTTAAGCTGGTAGGAGACTTGGACCTGCCTCGCATGGGCCAGTAGGCCTGCTGCAGTGTTCCTTCGTTCTTATGTTTTTATGTTCTTATAACACTACCGCCAGGCTCCGGCTGGGTTACATGTACCTCTGGAAACTTGTAACACCAACTGATACTTGGAGGGTGTTCCTCCACGGCCCGATTCACGACCAGGTCTCGCAGTAAATCAGGGTCTGATCAACCAGGTTGTTACTGCCGGCCGCACACAAACCGACATACAGACAATAGCCCGACTGGTCAGGTACTGACTTTGGGTGCCTGTCCAGCTTCTTGAAGACAGCTAGGGGTCTATTGGTAATCTCCGTTATGTAGACATATATAAAAGGAAACTTTTCCAGATGGACTATTGTCACACCGTACGTCATTATGTGCTGGAATGCGATAAAATTAATAAATTAAGAGACAACTTAGCCTCAGATGTTCAAGAAATGTCAAAGTATTTTATTCAGTGACATATTACCAACCAACCTGGAAAAATTAATTGAGTTTGCCTATTGTAACTAACTCACAGCCACTTAAATTTGCTTAAATTCAGTCATATCTTGCTAAAATATCCAGTAATATAAATAATTCAATACCACATATTTTTGTGGCTGAATTCATTGCTGCATGCATAACTCATTACAATGATAACCAGATATAAACACGTAAACAGTTCATTATCACTAACTTGTTTAGCTATTAAAACTTTGGGGCCCAGTCTCTAGAGCCATAAAGTGAGTCTGTAGTTTTGACTACCACTCACGTGATTGATATGGGATACATAATATATTAAACTGACGTTCACACAT